GGTGGGGGTCGGAGTGCGAGGGGGAAAGTTGGGTGGAAGGGCGGGAGGGCGCCATAGTAGGCGCAAATGAGGACGAAGAAGCCGAGGTAGATGAGCATGTGGAACAGGTCGGTCGCGAGGTCGAGGTAGAAGAGGTAGACACCTGCGCCCGTCCGCGCAAAGGGTTCTCGAGCCACGGCGGCCGAGGGGTACGCCGGGAGGACGGGTGGCTCACCCTTCTCGTCCCAGCGGCCGCCTAGGCGCGCCTCATTGACGTAGAGGGCGTACTTGACGAAGGTGGCGGCAATGGTGCTCGAGAGAAGTAGGTACTCGAACGCGAAGAGCAGCAGCACCGACGGCCCGCGTGCGATGGAGGACGAAAGAGCGTGGTAGAGGAACGCGGCGTCGAGGGCGGCGAGCGCCGAGGTGAGGCCGAGCACCCGGAGGTGAGTGACGAGCCGCACCTCCGGCGCCTGCTCGAGGAAGGCGATCCGATCCTGCAGAAGCCAGTGGAACGACTTGATGAAGAGGAGCGCGCAAAACATCGCGCAGAACGATATGTTGAACTCTTCACGGAAGATGGTCATCGCGAGGCAGGTCTCGGTGATGGCGTACCACGCGCGCTCGTACAGGTGCTCCACCTCCGCCTCGCGAAGGCGGCCGAAGAAGGCCGACTTGAGTATGCGCCCCACGAGCAGCGTGAGCGCTAGGGCTGCGTTGGCCAGCACAAGCGAAGCTACCTTGTTGGTGGTCAGTGCGATGACCGTCGGGTAGAACTGGCGGCGGATGGAGTGAGTGTGGTACGTGACGCCCACGACGAGCGCCGTCGACGCAAAGAGGTACGTCGTGAAGCGGCTGCCTGAGAGCATGTGAACGATGCGAAGCGCCACCCTCCTGCCACGCCTGCATTCACAGCACAAGTCCTCGCCGGGGGCTCGAGCATGCGCAGCGAAAAGCAGACGGACCCCCCCCTGTGAAAAAGTGAGGCGTGGTCTGTACTCGCCAGCACCCCCTCCACCTGAGGTTTCGCGGAAAAGAATTTTGCTTCGGGTGTCCCTTCCTTGTTTGTCAGGACTGCGAAGAGAGATAGGAAGAGGCAGACTCCCTAGGGTGGGCGACGGCTAGCGCATCACACACCTCTCCTTAAAATCCCTGTGTGGTGGCGGCGTGCCGTCCTCCCATCCCTCCCTTGGGTTGTCTGTTTTCTTTCTTTCTTTCTTGTCAGGAGCAGGAGAATCACTGATCTTCTTCCAAAATCCTGCCTGCTCGTGCAGGTGGGGACCCTGTCCTCCTCCCAGCCCTCGTTCGTTTGGTTCTCTGCTTTCTTTCTTTCTTTCTTTAACTGGCGCGCACTGGCACTAACACAGGTACAATGGTACAAACAAAGGGGTCCCGTTCTCCTGTACCATGCGGAATCGACCCTATCCAGTGCTCAAGTCGTCAAGTGCTCACGGTACAAAGAATTTTACGATCGAGGCGAGCTCCCTCGCACAACACCGGGCACGGGACTTGGAGCACTTGGAGTGCAGTCATTAACCGCACATCCAAGGGCCAGGGAGCTAAGAAGCGCACCCAGCGGGCCGGATGATTGGCATCGGTTGGCGCGGCACTAACACAGGAAAAAGAATTTCGCGGCGAATTTTCTAGACAAAATTTCAACGGGTCTCTGTCCTTCGTGTGTGTGTGTGTGAGAGAGAGAGAGAGAGATTTTAGAAAACCAACAAGAAATCACGACTCTCACAGTGATTTGGGCTCGGCAGCTTGTCAGCCCTCAGCCGAAGCTGGGGCCGGTCCCGTAGCCGAGAGAGCCCGCGCCGATGAGTTCGACGCGGTCGGGGGGGCCTGCGGAGAGGCCAGCGAGGTGGCGATCGCTGTACTTCATGGCGCCCTCAAAGTGGGGCTGGCTGACTCGCCAGAGGTCGATACTCTGGACGACCCATAGGATGCCACGAATGCCTGAAGGAGAGGGAGGCGAGGCCAGAGGCAGGCTCAGCTGCTCTCGGGTGATCTCACTTTGGTGGCTGAAGGACCCGATGGTCCTGTCACATTCGCGTTCCTGGGGGTAGAAGAATTCGAGGTAGAAATGAGTCAACACTTCCTTGTAGTACAGCGGACGGCCAGGCTCGCCGGCCGAGCATCCGCAGGGAGGCAGCATATGAGGCACCAGTCTTCTGGAGAGCTCAACAGCTGCAGCCGCGATGGTAGAGTCGGCCGCGGTTCGAGCGAGCAGCTTTTGGCTGCGGGATCGAATCGCGGATGGCTCATGCCCTCGCGGAGCGACGCGGGTCGCGCGGCGCGCGCGTGTGCGAAATGCGACAACAGGCGACAGTCGACAGACGCCTGAGCGCTGTACGACTGAACGAC